GAGGAGGCTGAGGCTTTGCTGCAGGGCCTTTCCAGTGAGATCCTGTGTCAGTCTTACTCTTCTTCCATGTCTCTCTGAGCTCTATGGAGAGAGAGGAGCATGCTTGCATCCTTTTACCTTCCCCTTCCCCTTCCCTTCAGATCCCTGGAATCAATGCCTGTGGTGCTCATAGAAGCTGCATGCTGCCTCAGGTCCACAGCAATCTCCTTGAGGATAACTTCTTCATCTTCCTCCTCCCCCAGGCTTGGGGATGCATGGTTGCAGTCATAATCTTCATCCCCAAAAGTCTTTCTTGCAGGGGGCTCATCATTGGAGTCAATCACAATAACACTGACTTTGGGGGAGCTCAGTCTACTTGTGGAAGGCATTGATGGGCTCAGTGCAGGTGGGGCAGATGTCAATGCAGAATCACTCTCACTCTCCACACTTGCCTTATCTTCAGTCCATGAGACATCTTGGGTAGGAGGGGGGCAAAGGTGAGGATATGTCAGGGATCACCTAATTTCAAAATATCATGATCATCTCAAACCCATGATACAGATCAAAGGACCAAAATAAACATCTTGACCATCTCATGTGATATCAATGGCTGAGTCAAAATCCTCTAAGTCCCTAGGACCCTGCCCTAAGGTAATCCATGCTGTACCTTCTTTAGATTGCTTCCATGGCTATCATAGATAGTCTCATCCCCTTTTGTCATTTTGTCCTTAGATCTGATCTCTTGGGATCCTCCACAATACTTGTGTAGTCAAACTAGGCATCAGTATCTCATCAAACTTATCCACTTGAGCAGACTAGGTGATACTGTCAGCTAGTTAGTGCTCTCAATATCCTAGTACTCCCCTTGATACTTCTCTCGACCTCTGTTGACACCACCATTACTTGACAATATCTGCCAGCCTAGTCTTGTGATATCTCGCCCAGGGCAGTGGCCACATGCAACACATTGTACCCTGACTAGACATTTCTATGGTGGGATGTTATGTTATTGCACCCTTCCCAGGCTCAGTTGCAGATGGATGTACACATTATGCACCACATGATCCCATGCTTGACTGGGTCTGGCATGGTAGCAAGATGCATCACCATGTCCGCACTGGTGAAGGAGGCCTTGACCCCCTCATATATAGTCAATTGCCTTGGCCGCATGCTGCTCTGAATGTCAGTCACCAGAATCTTTTTTGAGCATGCAATTGATTTCTGCAACATGTGAACATATGCCATGAGTCAGTGGAATGTTCCTGCAGGCTGTTGGCAGCCCAATGAAGGATGTTACTCAACCACCAACATCAACCCCCCTGTTCTTTTAGGTACTTGACCATGTACTTTTTGAGGTAGCTGAGCACCCCCATGATGGCAATCTTGAGGGGCATCATTGTTGTGCTTTGAGCAGGATGTTGGGCAGTCGATGCAATCACAGTAAGTGAGGTGTTGAAGTGCCATCAGATCCATCTGGGGTGTGAGGTGTCAGGCAAGCTCTTATAGACCTCTCCGGTTATCAGTCACACTCACTGGAAAATCTGCTCAATACAGTCCTTGGCCAACCCCACATGACCCATCATGTGAATCCACTGAGTGTCAGCTCTCAATCTCCACATGTGCACTAACCCCACAGATTGGCCCAGATGTGCTCAATATGCATGCTTGCTGGTCCCCATTGGGCCTGATCCTCTGCATGCCTGGGCATAGAAGGTGCTGCTGGATGGCACTCCCTTCTTGACCAATGGGTTATGGTGTGCCGGCCATATCAGGCATGCATGAAGAGAGCTATGAAGCACCCACACAATGTGGGAGCATCAAAAGGAAGCAGTGTGCTGGCGCTCGCAGTGTGGGAGATCCTGCCATGCTCCATATCTGGCAGGGCCAGGATATGCTGTGCATGCCTGGGTGCAAGGAACACTGTGCCTGCCTCTATAGGTCAAAGGTCTGATGAGGCATCTGGAACAGCCTGCAAGGGGGAGGAATGGGATGGATTGGCATGAGGTTATGCACATAGCGGCTTGTTGGGTTCCTCAAACCAGTAACCCAACAACTTGTGCTCCTTTGCCCCATGTGGTTGTATGAGCATGACTTCCCATATTCCTACCTCCTGCAGTCTTGGGCAAACCTTTTTACAGCTTCTTGCATAGTTCATTTGCCTCCTCAAGACCTCTGGGGAGATCTCTTCCATCCCCCAGGACATCACCTTCATCAGAGTACTCCAATCTGTGAGGGCACTAGGTCTAGCAAGGTCACCACACACTAATCCCAAACAATAGATGGAGTGCTGGGGGGTCTACTGTGGTTGAAAGCGACTCCAACCAGCAGTACTAGTCAATATCCAAGTCACCAGGGCCAGCTGGATTATTGGGGGAGTACAAGGGGGTCACTAAGGGGTCCCAGGGGGTGTTGTAAGTCGGTTATAGATAGCTGAAAAGTGTAGCAAGAGTTGTGGAGTCAAGGCAAGTTTATGAGGGAAGGGTGTTCAGGCATCTGTAGAAGGGGGTCCAAGATGATGAGATGACTTAGAAACTGCTTGTAGACTAAGGAGTTTCCTCAGAGATTAGATCTGAGGGATACAGCATCACTATGCTACTGCTTATATACCTTGTAGCTACTCCCCAGAAGCCCAGGAGTCCAGGTAAATTCTGGGGGCTCCTACAAGTGTCAGATAGATGTCTTAGCAACACCCCTGGGCCCTTGAAACCTTTCCAATAAATTGTGGAGACTCTTACAAGTGTCACCTTGTGTCTCACTAGTCCTGGTGGGGGTCCCTAGCATCACTATGTCTCACCCAAAGTGTCTGGACACAGCAGTCTTGTGGTATCCTCTTCATGATGTCTTGTTTGGTCATTGCCACAATCCCATAGTAGTCTCCAACACAGGAGGTTCCAATATCTTGCTGTTCCATTGCTTCTAGGGCAAAATGGGAGGCTAGGGGTGGCCACTAGCAGTGCCCTGATAGCAATCCCATGTGGTGTTAGGTGTAGGGTTAGGGTTAGAGAATTCTGTGTGCTAAGTGAAGAATTCCATGTGATAGGAAGAGAGTGTCATGTGCTAAGTGGAGAATTCCAAGTGCCAAGTGAAGAATGATGTGTGCTGAGTGGAGAATTCCATGTGCTGGGAGAAGGATTTTGTTGTGCTAGGAAGAGGGCAAGAGCACAGTGCCCTGACACAATCATTCAAAGAGCAGTTTGCCTAGCTCCTTTAGGTTGACAAGTTTTGAATTATCAGGAAGAAAATTCTGATTATGGATATTGTGAGCATGAGACAATCATGAAGTGTTGGTATAACTACCGTACCGGATCAATGTTGCCATAGCAACAGTCAACTGTTATATTGAGTGTCTTCAATCCCAGAAAGAACATCACTATGTCATCCAAGAATCTGTTCTTTGCCACAAAGACATGTGTGTAGAGTCAAATCTCCAAACACTGGAGTTGTTGGGAAGACATTATACTGAGTGCAGTTGGTATGTCACAATCTGTCCATCTCAAGGATCTGCATGACAAGGTCACTGACTGGTTGTCCTGGAAGGGTTTTGATACAGGAGCTGACATTGCCTGTAAAAATGCAAAGGTCTTGTAAATGTTGTGCTTGTATTTGATGTGTCTCATTCTCATCTGGTATAAACTTGGTAATGTGCTTCTGGACCTCCAGCAGTTGAGTGAGTGCAGAGTGAGAGTGAGCCTGTGCATCATCCCATGTATATCCTAATTGGAGTTCTCCAAGGGAATCTTTCTGAGCATGTGCAGCCAGTGTGTTGAGCCACAGTGGGTGGGGGGGGGGGGGGCGTGGAAATGAGGACTTTGTTGAACCTTGGGCCACAAAACACACATACAAAGCCATTTATGATGCTTTCTTGCTTGAATGGCAACCTGTCCATGACTGAGATGGGCATCCAAATGAATATTGCATGCACTGTTTGCAGTGTGGGCACTTGAATCTGAGAGAACTGCCTTGACAGCTCACATTGTGCTATGAACACAATCTTGTGTAACATTGGTATGACACTTAGAGCATCCATGACATCCGGGGTGATGTAAACTTCCAGTTGGATTGTCTGAAGACTGGCTAGGGTCTTCAGCAATGAGCCAGGATGTTTCAACAATGTCATTTGATCAGTTAGTCTGGCCAGATGTTTGGGGTCTTGGAGGCAGTCCATCACTTGTGACATTTGGTCTTTGTTGTTACTAGGGAGAGTGGTGAGGTGGACATGTTTCAACACAGCCATTTGATGAGTTGCACTCATGTGGGCCAGTTGTGTCCTGTCCTTGAGTTTGAGGCAGTGCCTTGCCTTGTAATATCTCCATTTGCTCAGTTCCAGCAGTGTCTGACAGGTTGCCTGCAAAGATCTCCAATTCCTGTCTGAGTCACAGATGCAATTGATAATGATCCACATGATGTCATCATTGAGGTCTAGGAAATGGAGTTGGAACTCTGTGCTGTGAAATAAAGGAGCCACCATTGAAGCAGTACTTCCACAGAGGGTTATAGCACCTTCCATTATTAGGAATGAGACCAACCATGGGATCATCACTGCTCATGGTGAGTTCATCCAGGCACAATGTGAAGTTGAACTTTAAGACAGGAAACTTGGTAGATGGACCATGAGACCAATGGCCCTGTGGTATGCAGATGCAGTTCTGATCCACTCCAGGGTAGAATTGTACAGTTAGATGGGTGGCTCATGCCACACATGGATACTCCAACTCTGTGGTGGTGTTTGGCAGTATCAGTTTAGGCCATCATAGGGCTTTATAAAGATGAGTGAAATCCATCCATTGCTCAATGATTATCTTCCTCCCAAATACTCCTGATTTCTTACAAATGGCTCGCACCAAAATACCCACCCTAATCCCATGCATAACACCAACCAGCAGAGAAACTTTGGTGAGAAGCACCACCAAATTGCAGCCAAAGCTCCCCAAACCCAAGGGCCCCAACACAATGGATATTCAGCAAACCAGAGGACTGGTCTGAGGCTTGGATGGGGTGAGATTATAGTGCCCTTGATCCAGCAAGTACTAACTACCTCCTCTAGGATTTATGTTGACATCATGGACCCAGATGAAATGATCTATTTGATTCCCTTCAAGCATAAGTACATGTTGTTTGTGTATGAAGTACTGTTGACTGATAATAGACAGATATGGCAAACTGTCAGGGCACCAGCTCATTGCTTGGTCAAGAGACATGACCAAGCCTTTATGACATGGAAGTAACTGGTATACCTTGGCATGTGCTGGAACCTGCTGAAAGGATTGGATGATCAGGTGACCTGCTGTGCATGGCTGTGCATGACCTCATATGACCTCATCCTTGTGTCAGAGCACCAGCTCATTGCTTGGTCAAGAGACATGACTAAGCCTTTATGACATGGAAGTAGCTGGTATACCTTGGCATGTGCTGGAACCTGCTGGAAGGATTGGATGGTCAGGTGACCTGCTGTGTGGCTGTGCATGACCTCATATGACCTCATCCTTGGTCATATG